ACCTCAATTCCTACTTGAAATTTTGAAGTGAAGGTGATTTATCAGGAAAATAAATTTGAGAAAGCCAAGAATTTTCACTCACTCTATAATCCTGTACAGAAGTTCCCCCACTTTATCCATAAAAGATACATTTGGAGACTCCTGTGGATATCTAAAACCACAGAGTACCAAATCCTGTATATACTATTTTTTTCCTATACATAGACACCTATGATAAAGTTTAATTTATATCTTAGGCGCAGTAAGAGATTAACAACAATAATAAAATGGAATAATGCATAATATATTTTAAAAAGTTATGTTGATATGGTGTCTCTTTCTCTCTCAAAATATCTTATTGTACTATAGTCACCTTTCTTGTGATGATGTGAGATGACACTATGCCTATGTGATGAGATGAAGTGAGGTGAATGACATAGGCATTGTGGCGTAGTGTTAGTCTAGTATAAGGGATACTTAAACACAAGCACCATAATACTGCAACAGCCAATCTGATCATCACGTTGGCTACTACTAGTATTTAACTAATGGTGGGTAGCATATACAGTGTGGGTACAATGGACAAAGGGATGAGATTTCACTATGAGATTTTATTATGCTACTCAAAATTGCATGCAATTTAAAATTTATGAATTATTTTTGGCATTTTCCATTTCATGTTTTTGGACCATGGTTGAAGGGTAACTGAACCCCCTAAAACTGTATGTGGATAAGGGGGGCTATGATATTACTAAATACAGTTTATCCTAGAACAATTTGAAGATTAGGGCCACCAACCTCCATGAAAATCCACATATAACTTTTGACTTCCTAAAAACTTACTAATAGCTTACTGTTGACCAGAAGTTTTACCAATAATATAAACAGTTGATTAACACATATTTTGTATGCTACATGTATTATACACTGTATTTTTATAATAAATTAAGGAAGAGAAAAGAAAATGTTACTGAGAAAATCATAAATACATTTACAGTACTATATGTATTTCTTGAAAAAAATCTGCTTATAAATGGACCTGCACAGTTCAAATGCATATAGTTCAAGGGTCAATTTACAATTATTCTTCAGTGGCTAACAAAATATAATTTTTATTGTGCTATGCATGTGAAATGCACTATTCTCTTCCAAGGTCATTGGTAATATCATGATGTAGATGTATTGGCAGAGGCTCTTCTAAGGTTAGTTACTAACAAATCCAAAAATACAACATAAACAATAGAACAAACAAGTTTGATTTATTCTAGGCTATAGAAGATCAACCAACATTTTTTTTTCTAGAGTCAGTGACTTGATATTCCAATGTGTTATCTCTCTATTTCTAAGTTAATATCATTGAACTTTAATAATTTCTGTTTTGCTAAGCCTACTTCCTAAGAGAACACATAGAAGAGGAATGTTTTTAAACTGGACAGGTACCTAATTGACACAGGTCAATGGGTAGGTACCATACCCTTATCGCTGTTATGATGCAGTGGGTAGTTTGTAGAACAGGGAAGAGTTGAGAGTTGAGAATAGAGGCAACAAAAGGCTAGAGATCTGAGTCCTGGATTCTTTAAATATTTAGAACGTGGGAAGATGAGGAGAACCCATTAAAGAGAAGAGGAAGAATGTCTCACGAGATAAAAAGAACCTAATGGTAAACAGTCCTTAGAAAGATAGCCTTTGGGTGACTGAATGAGAGGTAATGCAGCAGGGCCTAGGGATCAGAATGCTGAATTGGTACTATGGATACACCAGTCTCTACAGACCCATGTCTAACTCCTCTGCAGAGGCGTGTTGGGAACACCTCTGGGAAATAAGTCATATGAACACGCACTTAACAGACTTAGTCGTCATTTACAGATTTCTCAGTTAAAGTAAAATTATTTTTAAAAGTTCTAAACATCCTCGCCGTTGGGGTAAGGGGGAGAGACCAACCAAAGGACTTGTATGCATGCATATAAGCCTAGCCAATGGACACAGACACCAGGGTGGGGGTAAGAGCATGAGTGGGGGTGTGGGGGGACAATGGGGCGATAAAGACACATATGTAATACCTTATTCAATAAAGAAAAAAATTTTTAAAAGTGCTAAACATGCTACATCATAACAATATGTGCAATGATGAATATGACAATAGGCAAAGGAGAAGACAATTCAAAGACTTAAAATCACCTTACTATTTTTGAAAGTCTGGTATCTGAACCAGCTTGTATGGCTAAAAGAACGTTTTTCCACTGGGGTTTAGAACCTGTGTCAATTAGGTACTTTGAAAAGATGCAGGTATCAGAGATAAACTGAAACAAAGGCTTAAAATCATTTCAATCCTGTGAATCAGGCCACCAGTCAAATATACATACCTGTGTAAAAGACCCAAATTCAATAAATAAAAATATAAAATAAGTTTCTGTAACATTGGAATTTTAAAACCATTCCACTGAATTAAGAAAATATTTTCAATTTCCTAAGTGAGAACACTACATAAATGGCTGTTTTATAAGAAACATGACAGTTTACATTTAATAATAGTCTACATGAGGGATACAAATGAAATAGAAAATTGATTCAAGTGACAGTAAAATATTTAAAAACCTGGACATTTGCACAAATTGAGCAAAATCATTACATTCACATGACACAATTATTTCTTATAATTATATAAAGAAATAAATTCATTTTTGAGGTGGCAAATGGACTGTGTTCAACTTATGTTGTATTTTACAAAGAATAAATATCAGTGTAAGGTAGAACTAATGGTGTATTTCAAGTTCTAAACACAAAGGACGCCCTGGTAAGCTTTCTTTAAATATTTTAAAGTCAGTAAGACCATGTAAAACTATGTGTTAACTTGCTTTACCAACATATCAAACTAGCCAAACACAGGAAAAATATTATAGTGCTTTATGAAAACAGAAATATGACCTACCTTTGCTACTCTCCCTGTCCCTCTCTATTTCAGCATGCTATCCACACTGGCTTCCTAACCACTTATTAAAAATTGAAAGGCAACAGCTATAAACTCTTAGAAACATAACCAGCAAGCCATTGACAGCAGATGGGGATTTTTTTGCTGAAAACAATGTATATCTTAAATCTTCCCAGATCTGATGGATAGTTGCTTGTATCATACCTGTCCATTTCAGTAGTAATTGAAAACAGGATTTTGAAGTAAAAATTCATTCTTGCCACCTTGACAAGTATGGATCTGTGAGAAAACTGTTAGTAGGTGAATATCCTCCATTGTCTCTACTTCTCTTGTGAAACAAACAAAAGGTTATCTGTTTTTACATAAGAAGTTCTTGAGCTTATAAATATGCTCAAGTGAAAAATTCCTATAAAATTGCTAACTCTGTATATACACACATACTCACAATCAATATTAGAATGAAATTTCAACCTAAGCTATTTATTCTAATACTTTTTATGCCTTAATATTCAAATGGCAATGAAATTATAGTACATATCAGTATTAAGGATAGGATAAAAATGAAAGATTACTCAGTAGTGCCCTAATACATAAGTATCATAATTCTAAAATACAGTGGAGGACATTTTAACTCAGTAAAAATTTTTTTTTAATAAAACCATTTTGTTTTCATTTTTTCTTCTTGTGATAAACTGTATTAAAACAAATAACAAAAACACATATCCTTATCTGTTCCTACAAAAGCAGAAGATATTTAATTTTCACTAGGAAATTGTATTAATTATATTAATACATTAAATTTTGTGGCCTTTGTTCAGTTGCTGCGCCAAGTGTACTAAATCCATTTACCTTCTATGTTAAATTTCTTACTGTGTTTAACAGAAAAATATATTTATTTGCATTGATTTTTATCCTTGATTTTACACCTCTTTTGGCTTCTACTCCTTTATCCAATGTTTGGCTTATAAATAAGGTGCTAGAAGGAATGGGGCATTGATGCTTGAAACATTAGTAGTGTTCTACATTAACTACAAAAGAGTAAAAAGCAAATAAAATCTTCTCCCACCATGACATGTCCAACAGACCCAAAATAGCCTGTTGTGGTTTGGAGGGGGACTGTCAGGCCAGTCTCCACAGAAGGCACAGGTCCAGAGATTACTTTATAAAGCAATTATCTTTGGTATGACCGGAGATAAATGAGTACTTGAAAGTTAGCTGCTCGGGGTACATTCACTTGCACACATTTCTCAGTTGATGACTTTGGTTGTCTCACCCATGTCAACAAATGTATACACATCACAATGGAGAATGTCTATTACTCATTTTGTTTGTTAACACAAGGAAACTAAATTCATTTGATGATTTTTGTTTAATTTGGCAGTTCCATCTTTTGTGATATTGATCGGTCCAGCTATACCAGAAGTGTTTTCCAAACCCATACAATCAAAATGAAGTGAATGATTGGTGAATATTTTTGGAAAACCAAATTCATAAGAGTTAAATCCAAGTAGTTATTGTTTTTGTTTTGTTTTGTTTTGTTTTGTTTTTGTGTGTGTGTGTGTGTGTGTGTGTTTTACCATAACAAACATATAGTTAACCAATTTCTTTGCAATTTGGCAATAATGAAAATCTATTAAATAAAATAGTTCGATATTATGGCATGATAATATTAAAATGCCGTATTTATTTATTTATTTATTTATTCATTTATTCATTTATTTATTTATAGGCCTTAGCCATCCTCGTTTAACATTATTCACCAATATACATTTATTATCCAACCTTCCAGTTACTAGTTTGATCATACCTTAAGGATGATCTCACTTTAAAACCTTTAATTCTCAGCACTGATGATCATTCACTCGTTTCTCCTACAAAAATGTTACCACCATTTAAAAGCCATAAGTTAAAAATAAACAAAACCCCAGGCATGTATGTCCTAAATAACTAAAAGTAGGTTCATTTTCATTTTCAACTCCTCTTGCATGCTTCTTAATTTACTGTCATTATTACTTTACATTCATAACAATAATTATCCTTAACTATATTTCAAAATTGATTCTTTAATAATAGTACTAGAATCATAACTTACAGTCTGTGATTTTTAGTGTCCTCTTTACTTCTCCGCTTCCTGATCCCCCACAACCATCTTCATCGTCACAGTCCCCGCTGACCTGTTCAACCACGCCGCCACCACTGCCCAGGTGAACTTCCCACTTGTCCGGTTTGGGTGACCTACCCTGTAACAACTAAATATGGATTAAAAAAATATATTAAGAGCAAATTCAAATCATTTAAAAATGCTATTAAGGAACATGTATAGAAATTAGGATTATGTTCTTATGTGGGTGTTCTATTTTGATGTAGACACTGTACTAAATCAAGTGTATAAGAAAAGTAAAAACTACTGAAATCATAATAAATAATGTGCAAGGTTTTACAGCCAAAAAGGCTATGATCTGAATATTAGCTCTGTGCTAAAGCTTTGGAAAGCACATAAAACCAGGTCTTCTTGCTCAAAAGCAAGAAGTTTGGCTAGAGGATCCTTTGTTTCTGAATAAACAATGTTTAAGCGCAATAAATCAAACTCCAATGCAACACAACTTCCTTTGCAGTATATTACAGTATATTCTGCTGTTTCTTAAACCAACAATCCAAAATTTCTCAAAAATTATTTTACTAAACTGGTACTATTCTTCCAGAAAAAGGTTAAAAGAATTTTAGACATATACATTTTTAGCTTTAGTTCTTGGATCAAATACATAGTCCAATGCATATAGCACAGAACTAAACCTTGGAACAAAAGACTTATGCCCTACTTCCATTTCTATAAGTAAGTTAAGAAATTTAACCAACTTCTTGGTTCTCAAGCATTTCATTTATTTTTATGAGCAAAATAGATGGAATAGCTATTTTCCCTAGAGCACAAGAGTGCTGGTAATATTTTTGAATAATATAAATGCCTGAACTCCTTTAAAAAAAGGTGATGTTATAAATAATAAACTATTTCACTTAACACAAAAGCTGAGTAAAATGATCCAATGATATTTACCCCTCTAAGGCAGTTCTGGAGAACACATGACCAGACATGAGCACTAGAGGGTACTGCTATATTATGAATGAAATATACCTCTGCTGAACACTTAATGGTCATTTACATTTTCAAGATGTTTATGAAAGCATTATGGTTGTTACTTCTAAGGGATTTTCTATATAATAATATTGATTATCAGACAGTAATTAAATGCACAACCCAAGGAAAGAAATTTATATTGAAAAAATAGAGTGAAATATTCTCCATATACCTAAGACAATATGTTTAGCATTTAAAGAACATTTACACTAAGCAACTACACTTTGACAATTCATAAGAGTTCCAAAAAAGGTCATGAATTCTGAAATATTATAGTCCCTTAAAATGTATTTTTTCTAACAAAAATGAAATGCTAAAACAACAGCAATAATTTTTAAATTCTTATCAGAATTTATTTCTATGCATCAGCATTTTACCAAATTTATTAATAGGTATTTAATTTAAAAAGAGGGCTTCCTTTACGGTCAAGAGGATTTAGGCAACAATAAGTTACTATGTTTAACGCACTCATGTGTGTGCTTCTTCCTGCAGGAGAGAAACAGATATATAACAAAGCACATGCAAATCCAAAATCCAAAACAAGAAAGGAAGGATAATGGCATTGTTTTCTACCATTTGCCATTTGTTATTTAGCATAATCATAAAGGCCTTGGTCTCTGAGGTCTAACATACTTAGATTTGAATCCTGATTCTAACATATATTAACCATGAGACAATGGACATTATATAAATTACTGAATAACCGGCTTGTTCCCTCATATCTAAAATATGGACAATGATATACCTGAGCCATTTTTGTTATTGTGAGAAAAAAATACACATAAAGTACTTTGCACAGTGTTGGGAAATTAAAAATTAATATATTATTATTATCTACTTTAGTATGTATTTTATTACAATATTACTTAAACACCCCCAGCACTTAAAGAATTCAATTAGGTGAGTTAAATTAAATTATTTCTAAGTATTACCTGATAAGTACAACAAAAATAAACTTTCTGGTGATGTGTTATCCCCTTTTGCTTCTAATATTCTTTCTCAACACTTTTCCATTTTAACTTTATTTTCTCTTTACTTCCCTATTATTATTACAATATTTTATTGGTTTCTTGGCAAAACAAAGATGGCATCTTAGGAACAACACCTACAATATACAAGTCATAAAGACCCAACCCAACAAATTTGAACTAAAAAATACCACATGATCTCACTCATTTGTGGAATATAACGAACATTATAAACTGATGATCAAAAATAGATACAGACGCAGAGCAGCATCAAACAGACTGTCAAACTATAGTAGGAAAGCAGTGGAGGGTTGGGGGGAGGGGGTGGTTTAAGAGATCAACCGAAGGACTTGTATGCATGCATATAAGCATAACCAATGGACACAAGACACTCGGGCGGGGGGGTGGTGAGGGCATGTGCCAGGGGTTGGGGGAGGCCGGGGGGAGGTCAATGGGGGAAAAAAGGAGACATGTGCACTACTATTTGTAATATTTTAAACGATAAAATAAAAAATAATAAAAATGAAAAATATAAAGGGAAAGATACTGCATGTAAATCAAAACTTACTATTTTAAGAAATTGGTTTTGGTTGAAAGCAATTAAATATATTAATTGCCGTAACCGGTTTGGCTCAGTGGATAGAGCGTCGGCCTGTGGACTGAAAGGTCCCAGGTTCGATTCCGGTCAAGGGCATGTACCTTGGTTGCGGGCACATCTCCACTAGGGAGTGTGCAGGAGGCAGCTGATGGATGTTTCTCTCTCATCGATGTTTCTAACTCTCTATCCCTCTCCCTTCCTCTCTGTAAAAAATCAATAAAATATATTTATAAATATATTAATTGTTAGAGAATTATTCATTTATTTATAGTGACTTATAAAGATAATTGATAACATTGTTTTAAAGAAAACTTTTTTTTGTTTTTTACATTTTTTTCTAAATCACTGAAGTAATCTAAGAAATATCTATAAGACACAGGAATTCACATTTTTAAAAGAGAGAACTATACCAAACTATATTTTAATTTAAATATCTGTGTTGGGTAGAATTGTAAAATAGGCCCCAAAATGATCCGCTCTCATCTCTGGACTATGAATATAATGTCATTGTCATATCCGCTAAATTACATGGCAAAAGAAAATTTGCTAATGTAATTAAGGTTATAATTCAGTTGAATTCAAGTTCATCGAAAGGGAGACCCTATAGGTGGACCTACTGTAATCACATGAGTTCTTTGAAAGCTGAAAATTTTGCCTGGCTATCAGCATAAATCAGAGAACTTTGAAGCTTTGGGAGGGAGGAAGGATGATTGGACTTTAGAGATCAGGCTGTTGGCCTTGAAGGTGTAAACTTGGATGTCGTGAGAGGGACTGTGAGAGATTCTGCCAAAAGTCCTGCTGCCAGCAACCTCTAGTTGCTGAGAGTGATCCACTTTACAGCCTTCAAGGAAGTCAGCCTTCAGTCCCACAACTGAATTGTATCAACAACTTAGCTGAGTCTATAGGAGGATTCTCCCCATTATTCTCCAATTGATTCAAGGTTGACTGACAACTTGATATAATTGTTGTTCCCAATTGAGGCTTGTGAGACCCTAACCAGTGGTTCTCAACCTTCTGGCCCTTTAAATACAGTTCCTCATGTTGTGACCTAACCATAAAATTATTTTCATTGCTACTTCATAACTGTAACGTTGCTACTGTTATGAATGGTAATGTAAATATCTGATATGCAGGATGGTCTTAGGTGACCCCTGTGAAAGGGTCGTTCGACCGCCAAAGGGGTCGCGACCCACAGGTTGAGAACCGCTGCAAGCAGAAAGCCCTGAGCAATGAGCCCACCTGGACTTCTAAACTATGGACCTATGCATTCATAAATAAAAGTTTCCTTAAATTACTAAACGTGGTAATTTGTTGTGCAGCAACAGAAAATGAATACACTCTCTAACCGCCACTTACATCTTGGGCAATGTTTTCTTCTGGTCTCTTCGGATTCTCTAGCAGTGGTCGGCAAACTGCGGCTCAGCAACCGCGGCTCATGAGCCACATGCGGCTCTTTGGCCCCTTGAGTGTGGCTTTTCCACAAAATACCACGTGCGGGCGGGCGCGCACGTACAGTGCAATTGAAACTTCGTGGCCCATGCGCAGAAGTCGGTATTTTGTGGAAGAGCCACATTCAAGGGGCCAAAGAGCCGCATGTGGCTCGTGAGCCGCAGTTTTCCGACCATGGGTCTAACATATTGCTCAGGATAAAATGTCGACATATCCATAAGACGACACCTTACTGAAAAGATTATGCTATAGGATTTGACCCAGTCTCTATCTTTCAGGTTCTCTACCTTTTTCAATGCCTCTCACTTTTTTCCAATTCTCTGAGCAAGAGATATAATTGTTGTTCCCAATGATCAACTTATCCAGCTATATCCAGATCAATGTGACCCATGCTGTCAGGCTCCCAATAATCCCATCTCCCTCTAGCAGGATCAATACTGCTGTCTCCTCTCTATGAAGGTTCTGCCTTACAATGCTCATTTTCTTGCTTCTCAGTTATCATGCATCCACAAATGTTCATTTTCATTCTCACAATTACAATAAAACTTAACTTGTAAAAAATCCCAATAAATTTCCCATCAACCAAAATAATAGGATTTTCACAGTAAGATCCATGTTCAAAATCTCACATCTTTTTAAAAATATATTTTTATTGATTTCAGAGAGGAAGGGAGAGGAAGAGAGAGATAGAAACGTTAGTGATGAGAGAAAATCATTGATTGGCTGCCTCCACACTGGGGATCCAGCCAACAACCTGGGCATGTGCCCTGACTGGGAATTGAACCATGACCGCCTGGTTCTTAGGTCAATGCTCAACCACTGAGCCATGCCAGCTGGGCAAATCTCACATCTTTTGAACTAAGCTATTTTGATTTCTTCTGAGTTTGCTCATCTTTCTCCTCACATCAAAAATAAAGACGTTTCAATTAACAATGTAAATCCCCTATTCTTTAAAAAAATAAATAAATAAAAGACGTAAGTTTTACCTGGCTATCAGCATAAATCACAGAGATTGTAGCTTGGTGACAGGGGAAGGAGGATGGGACTTTTTAGTCTCTTTCTGGGAACCCATCCTGACAAATTGTGTTCTCATCTGTATAC